CAAAAAAAAAAAAAAAAAAAAAAAAAAAAAAAAGAAAAAATGTTTCAAATCTGACCAATATGCAACATAAGGATAGACAATAATTTTTAAGTCTTCCCTTTTTATATTCTCATACAATCATGAGCAATGCTGGATCCTACTGTACAGGAAACAACTATTTTCCTGCCCAGATACTGCAACAATTATAAGAAGTTTATGGTAACCCAAATGACACAGGGACCAGTCATCCACGTGCTCGGAGGCAGCTTACTGGGTTTCCACTGGAAAGGAGGGCAATTTAGTATTAATGCACTGATGGCTGAAGACAGAAACACTAAAGCAGGCCAAGACAAATACTCTGACAACAATAGATGAGGGGACAAAACAAAATCCCCCATAAACCAGATAGACCAGCAAAAGGGGTAGAATTCACCTATGACTTCTGCTTCAGTCTAGACAAATTTGAACTTATAGAGAAATTCGAGCCAAAGACTATTTCTGAAACCATCAAAAGCTACAGGAAGCAACAAGTAATCAAGTCACTTAATAACATTTACTGAACACCTCTATGTTGTACAAGGCATTCATTCAATATATAAAAACCAAAATAGTTAAGTATGGAATATCAAAAGTAATCTTTATAGAAATAGAAAGGCATCCAAGTTAGATGTTATGTTAGGGTTATGGACTCTTCTTACTCCTTTTCTCTTCACTGATTTACCATATGAATTATGTAATAATATCTGTTATATTTCTTCATCTTTAAAATGTAATGGTCTCCAAATTCAATGTCTCACCAAAAAAAAAAAAAAGATAAATATGTGAGGTGATGGATATGTTAATTAACTAGATGACAAAAATCCTTTCACAATGTATAGATCAAATTCATCATGATGCACACTTTAAATGTATTATAATTTTATTTACCAATTATACCTCAACAAAGTTGGAAAAAAAAAAAAAGCAATGGTCTCCTAAATGACTAAGTCTCCTACTACAACAGCAGTAGACATTTTATCCCTGCTGTGCACCAATCTGTCCTTTCATTTACAGTTGTTGAGACACTGTACTAAGATATTTTTCTATATGTAACTTTTTCAGAGAGCTTTGTCACTATCCTACCAACATTTGGGATAATGTATCTAGACCTGAGATCAATTCAACAAGGGAATGAATAATTTAGTCTATGACCTTGGGCGTGACACCCTACAACATACCTAATGTGGCCAATTATTAGAAAAAACAATGGTTTAATCAACACATTACCTCTTGCAACAGTGGACAACTAAACTGGTTCACGTGCTAAGTCAGGAAATGGGACAGACCAGACAGGGTCAAAGGGCTATGCTTCTCCTCTGTCCAACTGAGACATCACTATGGTTCTAGTCTTTCTGGTTCCACTTTAATCCTTGTCTACAAAAATTTGGCCTCAGACTGAGGCAGTGGACAATTTTAGCCCCATATCCATCTCACTTAGGCAGCCACCTCAACTACCTAGAATTCCTGTTCAAAACAGTCAACAAAAATACTTCTAAGAGTAATCAAAAGAAGAGACACATAGGAATAGTCTTTCATAGAAAAGTTTTCCAGCATTCAAAAAATGTTTATAAATGTAAAGTTCCTCAAGCCCTGAATCAAAAACTACTTATTTTCATTTTAAACATAATTCCAACTATTTTAGTCTGGTTTCTCAGTCCAACAGAAAAATATTGTGGAGGCAGACACAGAGACATGACTATCTGAAATTCTTGACAAAGAAACTAGGTATAGGGACTTACCTGGTGGCACGGTGGTTAAGAATCCGCCTGCCAATGCAGGGGACACGGGTTTGAGCCCTGGGCCGGGGAGATCCCACGTGCCGCAGAGCAGCTAAGCCCTAGCACCACAACTACTGAGCCTGCGCTCTACAGCCCGCGAGCCACAAGTACTGAAGCCTGCACGCCTAGAGCCCGTGATCTGCAACAAGAAGCCACCGCAATGAGAAGCCCACGCACCGCAACGAAGAGTAGCCCCACTCGCCGCAACTAGAGAAAGCCCGCGTGCAGCAACGAAGACCCAACGCAGCCAAAAATAAATAAATTTATTTAAAAAAAAAAACTAAGTATAATGTATTTACTCTGTCTTTAATTGCATTAATAAAATTAACTAAACAATGTGGAAAATAAGCCATGGAGTTCAACAAGGCAAAAGACTACCAGGAAAAAGGACACTAAAACAAAGAGGTGAAAATTACGCTTTTCAGAAAATGTCATTATAATACTAGTAAAAATAAACTTTGACAAATATATCTTCAAGAAGAAAAATATTAGTAAACTTAATAAATTATTAAAATTATAGTTTAAAAGTGTAACAAAATAATCCAAGACCCTCTTCCCAAGGCAAATACTGGGCAAAAGAAAAAAAAAATTCCCAAATGAAGGTAGAGTACCTTGACTACTCTTAGTCATAACAATACAACTTAAGCTACTTAAGAAAAAATATTTACCCATTTCTAGCTGCCAAATGAAGGGGTGTACAGCCTGAAATATCTTGATAGTTAGGATTTGCTCCTTTCTTTAAAAGCAGAACCAAGCATTCCACCGATCCACAACTAAAACAATATTAAAAACAGTTCAGACACATTTAACAAACAGCCATAGTTGACATAGCTTAATTAAAAAACAAAAAGCCCTATTAAACACATTATTTTGGGGGTCCATATTGACCTACAATTTAACTCCTGTCACAAATAGTAAATATCCTCTACTTTCAAGATGGTACATTCTACTGCAAAAGCTATTAAGTATTTGAGAAGTTCATATAAAGCGAAATAAAGTATTAGCACATAAAAGAAACCATACAGTACTCTCAACTTTTGGCTTTCCAGAATCCAAATTTATATTGAAAAATCAATTTTATTTAGGTAGAGTAATCTCAACCTAAATCCTAAAGGGTGATGAGATATCAACAAATTGATTAGCTACACACTGGAATATTATGAATAAAAATCATTCCCACAGCTAAGTAAAAAATATAAAGCCAACAACTTCACATGCAATTAGCATATAAAATCTTATATTGGTGGGATAAAAGTAAAATTTTGGTGAATGTACCCTCTTAAGTATATCCAGGAAAGATAATCCCCGTGCCTAATCTCCTCTAATCTGATCTAGAGCAAGTTAAAACATCAGATATAAGACTTGAGTCCAATCCCAAGATTAACAATCTATCTAGTGAAAGAATGTAAGCATAGCACACTATGCCCTCGACAAAACAAAGAACCACTCAGCTGTCTGTTCTCATCTCTCTCCATAACTACTAAGGAACACACTGATTCAAAGCTTACTGATCATTACTCTAGACCAAAATTTAATCCAAAATGTCTTAAGTCTTACTTTGCTGCAATGTGAAGCAAGCTTCTTTTCACACGTCCAAATGCATAATTGACATCAAACTTTGAATTTGATAGTAGTTCAGAAACAGACCTATGCCAAAAGAAAATTGAGTCAAGGTTAAAAAAAAAAGTTTTTAAAAACATAGTAACTCAAGTTAATAGCTGTTTAGTGTTACTCTTACCAATTATTCAAAAGGTTTTGTCCCACGTCAGCCAAAAAACAAGGCACTACTCTCTAAGCGTAGCACAGCAGCCAGTGCAGCATCATCCAGAAACCAACTGCCCTCACCTATAAACTGGTGCTGAAGGGTTCCTCGTCTGCCGCTCTGACTATGTCACCTGCTCTGAGGACACCTAAGTTGGCTTCAGCTCCCACTAGATTCTTGAGAAGCAAAGAGAGTAGGACTGGCTGCTCCCCCTGCAGAAAGTTGAGCCTATCTATATTAATTTTGGTCAAATAAGAAAAATCAGACAAAAACATGCTTTAATTATATCAGACAGGAGTTCAAAGCAAAAAAATCATTTATATTTTAAACATGTTTCAAAATACAGTGTCTCTTTACTTTCTCCTCATAATACCAAACTACCCAATGGCTAACCACAGCAGAGCTGTCTGTTACAGCTCTCTCATCACACAGCCAGACAACCACACCTCACGTGCGCCCTGTAAAAGAAATGTCGACACTACCTCAATAGAAAGAACATCAAAGTAGTAGAATATTAGGGAATAACTTGTCCATCAGCCCTAACTTTTTGCTATAAAGATCAGTAGTGACCTCTAACAGAAACCATCATAATGTTTCTTTCACTGTCAGTGACCAAGCAAATACTTGTTTTAAGTTCTGACTATGCATTTAGAAAATTTCTTATCATAGAATTTTACAGTTGATATGGATCTTAGAAAATCTTGTTTCTTATTTCACAGACAGAAAATTATAATAGAGGTTAAATAACTTGCCGCAGGACAAAACCTATGTCCAAACTCTATGGTGTGTTTGTGTGTGTATGTGTGTACGCAACATTTAGGTAAATTTATATTCTTAAAAAATATAAATTTGTGGAAAAAATATATAAATTTGTAAATAGGCACTCACCTGTGTTGATCAGCCATAACCATTGGCATTAATGTATAAACAGCAGTTTCATTATCTAAGTGTTAAAAAAAAAAAAGAAAAGGAATTAATTTATCTCCTACTTTTTCCAAAGGGTGATACTTATGACTACTTCAGAGTTTTCTTAACTCTAAATAAAAAGCTAGGAGAAGAGGTGGAAGAAGATTATGGATAGTGAAAAACACCAGAGGTATTGCAAGATTTGCAATAATGCACAATGTTTCATCATACTTACAAGTACTTGGAGGAATGTTAAGTATATATGAATATCAAAGATAAATATGCTAAAATTATTTTAAAATATTACATATACATAGTATTTGCTCCTTGTCAATAACACAAGAAATTTTTATGAAACAGCATTAAAGTCTTATTTTTACTTACCTCACATTTTCATTTATTATCTTTTATAAATTCACAGAAATATGATCCAAAAGAAGTTAAAAGTCAATAACATCTATGATCTCATGCGATACTTATATAAATTTCAGATAGCGTTTGAATTTTTTTTTTTGATGTGGACCATTTTTAAAGTCTTTATTGAATTTGTTACAATATTGCTTCTGTTTTATGTTTTGGTTTTTCTGGCTACGAGGCATGTGGGATCCTAGCTCCCTGACCAGGGATCAAACCTGCATCAGCTTTGGAAGGCGAGGTCTTAACCACCGGACTGCCAGGAAAGTCCCTGAATTTACTTTTATGTATTACTAATGGTCATTCCTCAATTCAATGCATATTAGAGCTTTACGTTTTTTAATAAGTTACTTACAGAGAAGTAACACTGACAAGTCCCATTTAGCCCTTAAAAAGTTAATAGCAGTACTAAAATTTATGAGTAAAAGTTTGAGAAAAAGGATATTTGCATAGTATCAACGTATTTCCCCCACAGTGAACTTACAGTGGAGAACCCAGCAGATTATCACCTTAATCATCTGATAAAGGGTAACATCACCAGAAATAATACATATCAATATATTGTAGCCCTTGAGTTTCCACTGAGAAGGGCACATCACTTTTGTAGTATTCTTGCCAAAAATCTGTAACTTTAATCTACTCATGGGAAAACATCAGACAAACCCAAATTAAGGGGAATTCCACAAAATACCTGATCAGTCCTCTTAATCAAGACCATTAAAGTCAAGGAAAAACTGAAGAAATATCACAGTTCAGGGGAGGTTAAGGAAACATGACAACTAAATGCAATGTGGTATCCTCAATTGGATCCTTATATAGAAAAAAGACATTAGTGGGAAAACTCATGAAATTCTAATAAAAGTCTGGAATGTGGCTAACAGTATTACACCAATATTAACTCCTTAATTTTTTTTTTTTAACTCCTTAATTTTGATCACTGTTCTTTGGTTGTATAAGATGTAAACATGAGGGGAAGCTGAGTGAAGGGTATACAGGAACTGTTTATGCAACTTTTCTGTGAGTCTAAAATTACTTAAAAATGGAAAGTTAAAAAGAAAAAGAAAAAATAGGGGGAACTGTTATCATTAAAAGATTCTTAAGAGATGAGTCAACCAAATGTAATGTGTGGACCTGACTGGATACTGATTCAAACAAACCAACTGTAAGTGAATATTTCTGAGGAGAAAACTGAACATGGACTGGGTATTTGATGAGAATTAAAATTACTGTTACTTGTGTTGGCTCTAATAATGGTATTGTGATTATGTTTGAAAAAACATTATATATGTAGAAATATATCCGGAAGTATTTAGAGGAAGAGAAAAAAAGTTACCATTTCTTCACATTTTTGTTCATTATTTTACTATTTTTGAATGTATACATGAAGAGCAATTTAGTCCTTGTCAACATTCACAAGTACAGTATGCAGATGCAACAACTCTTTCAGTATAATTCAATAACCAAAGAATCCTACTAATAACAGCCAACATGTTTTAAATTATTACCTTAAAGGCACTGTTCTAAACACTTCACATGCATATGCATCATCTCTTTTATCTTCACAGCCACCTTATGAAGTAGGTACTAGTATTATCCCTATTTTACAAATCAGAAAGCTGAAGCACTAAGTAATAAGCCGTGTGATGGTGGCATTAAATGGCTAAACTGGAATTCAAAGCTGGCTGATTCCAAAGCCCCCACAAGAAAAATCTTCCACTGCCCCCAGTATACACTATATAAATAGCCAAAAGGTCTACAATACTATTCTTTTTTTTTTTTTTTTTGCGGTACGCGGGCCTCTCACCGCTGTGGCCTCTCCCGCTGCGGAGCACAGGCTCCGGACGCGCAGGCTCAGCGGCCATGGCTCACGGGCCCAGCCGCTCCGCGGCATCCTCCCGGACCGGGGCAATAACCCGTGTCCCCCGCATCGGCAGGCGGACTCTCAACCACTGCGCCACCAGGGAAGACCTACAATACTATTCTTAACATGTACAATACAGTCTAACTTGTTTTATTCTCGTCCATCTCAATTTTTTCAAAATGCTGACTGAAACCACTCAATTATTCTCATTATCTAACAGTGAGTCACCAAAAGGAGTTGAAAAACACTTCACTAAGCCTCCCTCAGCATGGCAACATTCTTTCTCTCTCATATAATACACGCCCCAATAAAAATCTGAACTTTTAAACCATGACAATTTCAATTAAGTCACTCCATAATAAACAAAGTCATAAACAGGAAATACCCTTATTTGTGAATTTAAACTTATAAATCAAGATAGTACATACTTTTAAGTGAGCACCATAAGGTTCGCATGGGTTTTACTTATAGGGTGTTCATTTAGATAAAATTTAGAGGTAGATCTTGTTTTTTAAGTAGTATCTAACCTTATTAAATAATAGCTCACATACGCTAAAAGGTACGAAGACACAAATATAACCACAACTATGATGCTAGAAGGAGACTATCCAGGAAATACTATACTAAGAAAGTACTGAATAAAATTTGCTGTCAGGTGCTTCCTTCTCCACACTCATGAAGAAATCTTGAGAACTAGGGATGTAACAAAAGTTTTCAGAGTGATAAGAAAAGTTTAATCAATCTCTCACTTTATCAGATATGTTGGCCATTTTTATTAATAACATTTCAGAACTCAGCAACTAAAAGGAAAACCTCAAAGAACAGGAAGCTCAGATTCACTATGCTATATTCAATGTCTCATCAAACCATAAAATGGGAGAGATTTTTTAAAAAATTGATAACTATCCTAATCATTATTCAAATATATGCTCAAATGGGCTCAAGTTCTATTATTTTATTAAACAAATTACATTCACTGTAAATGCAGTAGTTTAAGATTACTTTTTCCACATAAATGAATAATATAAGCCAACTTTTTACAGTCCACAGAGAATCTATATCCCTAAAATAATTGTTTTCCTTTCACTTCCTGTCTCACAAGAATATTCCTGTTAGCCCTGCCTAAGATGACTCAACAACCTGCACTCCATTACTTAGAGGGAATACTCAGGTTTTCATCATCCCAAGGAAACATAAATATGTTTTCCCAGAATTCAATTCAATAAATAAAATATCTGCAGGTTAATCCTATGCAACAAAGTTAATTTTAGAGTGAGGGCTGATTAAAAACTTTCCAACCTTAATAATTAGCTCCAATCAAGTGCTTATTAATCACTGAAGTCTAACAAGGCAAGATAAACATCTGATTATTTCCTAAAGTTAGACAGATCTCAGAACTTCTGTTCAGCCCTTAAAATGAAAGCACAACAATCTAAATTTTTATAATTAGAATGTAACACACACACACACACACACACACACACACATTTGAAAGGGCCAATCTCAGAGAATTCAAAAACATTCATCTTAGGGACAAAGATAAATTAAAAGGACAGGATGAGCAAACTCACTATAATCAAAGAAAAACAAATGTAAGCAACATGGGAAAAAGTTTTATTTTTAATTACTCTAGTTTCCAGGGACTCTCAGACTGTGGGTGGAACTTTCTTTTCCAAAGAGTTAGTTGAGAGGTTGATACTCAGTCTTAAAAATGCTGATATAATTAGATCTATACTCTTCTATGTAATAATCCTAAGGAAACATTTATAAAGGCAGACTGAGATTTAAAAATGTACAAACCTGTTCCTCATAAAATCTATTATAAAAACAATAATTAGATTCAATATTTGTTACCTATTAACCTACAAAATAAACCTACATTAAATCCTACAAAATAATTAAGCATTTAAAGATATAATAAATGTTGTATGTTTTCTAAAAGCAAAATAAAAGACTATATGCAGTATGATCTTAGTTTCAGTAGAAAAAGAGAAAAAATAATAATAGAAGGAAATAAAGAAAATACTAACATTGTTTATCACTGGGTGTGAAATGACAGATTATTTTATTTTTCTTTCTTTTCAAAATGTTCCACAATGAAAACACATTACTTTTAAAACAAGAAACATTATCAAAGTCTTCTAAGTCACATTTACGTTAAAAAAAAAAACGGGATTTAAACTGAGCAATACAAATACCGTGTAAATGAAACTACACACGCAGCAGAGGATACCAATAATTTGACTGCGGAAAATGAGTGAGATCAGCACTTAAGAAATGGACTCAAAGGTGGAAGGTGGAAAGAAAACAGAGAAAGAAAACGTTGAAGTCAAAAGTCTTGTTCCTAAAATCAGGATCATTTTCAGTCTCTTACTTTACACTAGCAAGGTACCAAGTACAAAATTATCTTTTGAGAAACAGTCGCCACAAATCATCCTGTTCTGAATCATAAGTAGAGACTAGGGAAAATTTTTTTCAGAAAAATTATCCTCAGGTCTCCAGTCCCACATTTCTTTTATGGCTCTCGCCCAAGTTCTCCTTCACTAACCTTACAGATCACCTCCCCAGCAGCAATTCAAATAAATTTTTTTAAAAAATGATATAAGATAAACTAATGCAATGCATTTAAAAAAAAAATCACCAGACTTAACTCCTACTCTTTCTCTCAGTTGGGCATACAGAATCCAGCCTCTTAGAGACAGCACTGCGCTCTCCCACTACCACTAAACCATCTGAATTCATGAGGCTGCAAACAAAACGGCTTTCTTTCTCATCTCTTTTATTACTAGTGTTTTACCTATTCTGAAGAAATCCTGGCACACTGAACTAAAATTCCTAAACGACAGGGCTCATGCCTTACTCCTCTCCGTAGAAGCGCCCCAGCCCCCTCCGTCTGATGAATAAATGAAGGCAGACATGCATATTAAAGTAAAGTGTATATATGTAAACACACACAGTACTTCAAGTACATGTTTGATATTTGACACCCTTTTATTTATTGTCAAAATACAACAGTGCTCTACATTTAGAAAAAGAAAAGAATGCTTAATTCCCCTCAGCAGCTTAAAGTAAACAATACTACTTGGGGAGCATCTCTCTAGCCCCAGCAGGCAGAGACTGTAAAATGGCCCACAACTGTGATGTTTTCTGAATCCGGATCTCCGCCCTCCGGGTGGTATTTCTGCTCCTTCGCCAAAACCCCTAATCGATAGTCTGGAGAGACTTGGGTCTATCCTGCTTCTTCTAGCAGCAGAACCTTCACAGCCCGGACCCCTCCCCCAAACTCCCACCTGCCCCGGGCGGGAGCGGCGGGCGAGGGGTAGCAGGAGGTCCCAGCCCGGCCCCTGCCAAGGAAAGTAAATGTGGGCGTTTGTTCAGCTTTTGGTTAGTTTTCCCAGCCGGGCCTCCCCGCGCCCCTAGCCCGCGGCCAGCTCACCGTCCGGCAGCTCTACGGTGCGCGCGCGGCGCAGCGAGCGTGTCAGGCGATTGAGCTGCTCCATCGCTCTCTCCATCCTCGGCGCGCCCTAGGCGCTACCCCTGCCGCGCCCGCGGCCTCCGCGCCCAGCGCCCTACATCCCGCCCCGCGCCCGTCCCGCGGGCGGAGGCGGCGGTTCGCCCGGGCCAGCGCCCGGGACTACGGGGGCCGTTAAGGACTGCGTCCTCCGTCCGGGGGCCGGGAGCTGTCGGACAGACCACCGAGTGGACACCCGCGGCCGGAGACGCCGCTCTGGCCCTTCCTGCCGCCGCCACCGCCTCTTCCCTCCCGGACTCGCACAGCCTTCTGGGAGCGGTAGTTCCGAGCCGCGCGCCCGGGGCGGAGCCACGCTGGGTGCGCCCGTGACTCCGCGCCCCTGCCATGCAGACGCCTGGGTAGGGCGGTGTGTGCGGGAAGCTGCGCGCAGGCTTGCGGAGGGACTTATTGGGTGTCCCCACGAGCCCCTTCTCCTGCACCGCAAAGCTGTACGAGAGCAGCTCCCTTCAATTCTGTCACTCCCCCCTATATAGACGATTGGGGATTTGCACGGTTGTTCTTAAATCCATCGTCAATCATCCCAGTTTTGGTACATTTGTTTTCCAGATACATGAACTGTTGAAATATTACATTTTCATATGTTAAAGAATGATAAAGTCAAACAAATGCAAACGCAGAATACACTTTTTCCTTCATTGCAAGTAACGTAACCGTAGCTTAATTATTTGTCTCCCCTGCTGGGCGATTTCGTGAGGGCAAAGCCGTCCCTTTATCTTGTGCCTTGTATTCCCGTACTCACCACAGCACCTGACACAAAGTTGAAACTTTGGGGAATATATGGATGATGACATCCTAAAAGAAAATTTTAGTTTATTTGGGAACAATGCTGAAGTCTCAAGATGATGACAGATCCCAGTGGGAAATCCAAAGACTGATTTCGTGAGTTGCAAAAAAACTTGACAATACCAACAAGTGTGGATGAAATTAATTAAAAGGAAATCAGTGGGGAAAAATCATATTTGTCAGCTCTACACAGAAGTAGAGCACAAGCCAGGATAAAAACAAATTTGAAGCAGCTGAAACATGAAAGAATTTATCCAATCCAGGTGAGTATGAGCCTACCTAACACCACTGACAATGAAAAGAGGAATTTTGTCTTCTTGGGCATAACCAGTGCCAAGATGATGCTGGAGTTAAGAGAGAACCAAAGAGCTTGGTCTTTCTCAGCTTCTCCTTCCTCAAAGAGGCAAGGCTGCTCCTGCAATGAATGGGCACATGTACGTTGGTGATATATATTAGCTGGCCCAGAAGGAGAAAGAGAATCTCACCTGACCTTCCAGGATATGCAGGGGCAGATGGTGGCTGGCATGGGTGTTCCCTGCCAATGCCATCCTGAATCAGTTCCAACCTGCTGCTACCAGTTATTTGTGCCAGTGATGCAACAGGCTCAGGGTAGACCTTCTAACCAGTTGGTTCAGATGAGACCTAAACCAGTCCAACAACAAGGTGGAGACGTCAGAGCTTCGAAGGAATGCCAAACACTATGGGCTAGGCCATGTCCAACCCTTTGCAACCTAGCTTCAACTGGAAATGGTCCTGCCTTTCTTGGCTTCCCCATACCATTCAGAAAGTCAAGATTCCCACTGCTATACAGAAGTTAGCATCTCAGCCTCTGCTATTACTGCCACCCCTTAAGCTGTTGCTCCATATAAATCATTTCCGATGTCCTCTGGGCACCAAGACTGGATTTTACGTGCAGAGCAGGAGTCCCCAATAACCTCTATGGTGGGCATCTCTCCCCATGCTGGTCACTGTTCACCACAGGAGTAAAAGATGCTGGAAGAATGTTACAGAATGCTGCTGTGGGTTGTCAGTTCTAAATCCTGCAATGTGATGCACTCTCTCAAATAGCTCTGGTCCAAGGTGTATGAAGCTGTGGTACCGCTATAGGCTTATCACTGCCTGTCCAATAGAACTTTCTACAATGACAGAAATGTTCTATAGTCTACACTGTCCAGAATAGTAGCCACTAAGCAAAAGGGGTTACTGAGTGCTTGAAATGTGGCTAGTGTAACTAGATTTTAAATATTTATTTAAATGTAATTAGTCTAATTTAAATTAAGTAGCCACATGTGCCTAGTGGCCACCGTATTGGACAGGGCAGTTTATCACACCAAGAAGGAAGCTGCCCATGAGAACAACAAAAAAGTGAAATAGCTCCTCATAGGTTATAGTTGAAGAACTGAAAATTCTCACTTGCCCTGTGGAAGTCAACACCAAGAATATCAAATGAAAGCTTTAAAAGGGCATTTTGTATCATAAATTCCATTATCAAAAATATAGCGCTTTTCACTTATAAGAATCCAGATTTCTCTGTGACCCAGTTTTAACTTTCTCTTTTCTATTTCTGGATTTTCTTCTCCCTGAAAATTGGTTTTATTGGAGATACCCAAGCTTAAGTTTCTCCATTTAAAAGAAGAAAACAATCAGTTCAATAAAAGGCAGGAAGAGAGTGGGGGGGGGGGGGGGGACAAAAGAAAAGAACAAAGAACAACCATTGTAAAAACAAAACACAAAAATAAGATGGTAGAAATAAATCCAAATATATTCATGGCCATAATCACAGAAAATATAAACAGAGTCAACTGTGGATAGGGCGGAAAATGTTCTCCTTTCCAGACAACATATATGCTTAATATATGAGAAAGAATTAGTCCTGGAAAAATCTAACTGCAGTAAAAATTTTTTTTTCTATTTTCTTGTGTCCTGAGATAACACACTACAAATATTGAGGATATATATTCAAAATCCATATCTAACTCTATGAATTCAAAGCACTATAGAAACCAGTTCTCCCTGCATATCAACCATGGGAAGGAAGTATATACCAACAGCCGCTATTCCTCGTGGATATGAATTGCAAGCCACCAGAACTTTATCGGGAGGTATTGCAAGCCTACATGAAGTTTAGGATTAAAAATGTATTAGCGGGCTTCCATCGTGGCGCAGTGGTTGAGAGTCCGCCTGCCGATGCAGGGGATACGGGTTCGTGCCCCGGTCTGGGAAGGTCCCACATGCCGCTGAGCGCTGGGCCCGTGAGCCGTGGCCGCTGAGCCTGCGCGTCCGGAGCCTGTGCTCCGCAATGGGAGAGGCCTCAACAGTGAGAGGCCCACGTGCCGAAAAAAAAAAAAAAAAAAAAAAAAAAAAAGTATTAGCTCTTGGGAGAGATGTAAAGTATGGGATTTCCATAAATCATTTAAATTGGGATTGTGTAAAGGAGGGGCTTTTGGCTATGACTAAAATAATTTTGATGTTTCAAATTTTCATATACCTGTTGCAAAAATTTCATGGTTCATGCTACTATTAAGAGCAGTGCTATGTCTTCCAAAGTAAGGTATTACGATATACATAGAGATAGACAACATCCAAAATGAGACATACTGAGAATTTAAAAATTTTAAATCATTAATAATGCATTTGTAGAAATCTGACTTTTGTAATAAATGAAATGAAATCAGTAATTTCATGAAATTACTATGAAAGGATTTTCCTAATTTTATAGTAAGTTTAACAATCTTAGTGATCACTGGAGAGAACATGAAAGATAATGTCTCCTACCAAAAACATAATAGTGCTAAGAAAACCAGTATCACTAAACTTGTGAATATTTGAAATCTTTTTTTTTTTTTTTTTACGGTACGCGGGCCTCTCACTATTGTGGCCTCTCCGGCTGTGGAGCACAGGCTCCGGACGCGCAGGCCCAGCGGCCATGGCTTACGGGCCCGGCCACTCCGCGGCATGTGGGATCTTCCCGGACCGGGGCACGAACCCGTGTCCCCTGCATCGGCAGGCGGACTCTCAACCACTGCGCCACCAGGGAAGCCCAATAACTGCCTTTTTAAAGCATTCAATTTGGATTAAATAAAAAATGTTGGTGAGTTTACTCCATCATCAGTAACTTGGTCCCAAATTCAAAGCAAACCAATATTTATATGCAAGGTGGAAGTACAATAAAGAATAAGACTTTTGGGCTTCCCTGGCGGTGCAGTGGTTGAGAGTCCGCCTGCCAATGCACGGGACGCGGGTTCGTGCCCCGGTCCGGGAAGACCCCACATGCCGCGGAGCGGCCGGGCCCGTGAGCCATGGCCGCTGAGCCTGCGCGTCCGGAGCCTGTGCTCCACAGCGGGAGAGGCCACAATAGTGAGAGGCCCGCGTATCGCAAAAAAAAAAAAAAAAAAAAAGAATAAGAGTTTTTTCACTCTCAAGGAGTTCAACTTCTGGAAAGGAAATTAGACATGCACAAATCTGACAGTAATACATAGCAAACTGTGGAGAGTCCTTCATGCTCTACTCAAAACCCTGGGGATGTGGGGGAGAGAATCATCCCTTCATTGTAGAGAGGGAGCAGAATCAAGGAAACTTCCATGCTTGAAAGGAGATCACATTAACACATGGGAAATGGAAACAAGCAGGACAATCTGATTAACAACAAATATTAACAGTTGATACTTGTTGAGCATCAATAGCTTATTTAGCTAAGGCTTGTGGGTAATTGGAGAATTAAGGCTAACATGTGTTAGTCAGATTTCAGTTAGCCTTGAATGTCATGCTTAGGAGCTTGAAGCCAGTTCTGCAAACAGCAAGAGGTAACACAATTAGATGGTAGCGGAAGAGAATGGTAACAGCTGAATGAGTTAAGAGGCCACTTGTACAGGTGAGTGGAAACAAAACACTGTGTTAAGGTGGGAGTGAAGGAAAAAGACAGATATGGGTACTGTGGATTGACAGGATGCAGAATTTTGACTCTACATGAACAGTGGACTAGATGGGTAAGAGTTAAAGATGACTCCAAAGTTAGCAGTTGTCAGGAGTAAGTTCTTTTGAGAGGAAAAAAGTTGTTCAAAAGTTGCATATTCTGGGGACTTCCCTGGTGGAGCAGTGGTTGAGAATCTGCCTGCCGATGCAGGGGACACGGGTTCGAGCCCTGGTCTGGGAGGATCCCACATGCCGCGGAACAACTAGGCCCGTGAGCCACAACTACTGAGCCTGCGCGTCTGGAGCCTGTGCTCCATAACAAGAGAGGCCGCGATAGTGAGAGGCCTGCGCACCGCGATGAAGAGTGGCCCCCGCTTGCCACAACTAGAGAAAGCCCTCGCACAGAAACTAAGACCCAACACAGCAAAAATAAATAAAATAATTAATAAACTCCTACCCCCAACATCTTCAAAAAAAGAAAAGTTGCATATTCTGTTGCATAACTCCAAATCATTAGATTGCAG